CGGGGATTATGCAAATGTGTTACCCAGTGACGTATACCGGAAACAGGCAAAAGATTCGAAAATATGACGACTCGTTAAGGCGATTCAGAATCGACTCTCTCTTTTGAGAGACAATATCTTTATTTATCATGCACGTTTTTGATTAACAACTTTGCAGATTGTTTTCATTTAAGGATAGCTATGTTATAAACTGCAAAAAAAAGAGTTATTTTTCAAAAACCCATATCACCTGCTCTTTAAGTATCTGCCGACTAACTAATAACCAACACTGGCCTGGGGCGTTCTGTTGCATTGAAAGTTCGGGGCTAGAAACCAGAAGGTTGCATATGTGTAAATGCATGAGAATTACTTATTTCATTCAGCTAGAGATCTGTGTCTAATGTAAAAACAATTAAAACAATGATTTTAAGACAGACAGTGATTCAAAGTATATGGCAAATCGTCTCAGGTTACGTATGTAACCATGGTTCCCTGAGAAGGAAACGAGACACTGCATCCTCTAGAGGTTGCTATGGGGAACGCCTTCAGCGTGACCGGTGTCTGAAGCATACATCTAAACACGACTATAACATTGGCCAGCGACAGCCTGTGACGTCATCACCCGGTGCGACCACAGTAGAAAAGGGCACGGGGAGAACACATCATCTGCTTCTTCATCTGAAGCTTACGTCCGAAGGATGGCAAGGGAAATAGAGGACGCAGTGTCTCGTTCCCTTCTCAGGGAACCATGGTTACATACGTAACCTGAGACATTCCCTTCCGAGAGAACTTTGAACTGCGTCCTCTAGAGGTTGCTATGGGGAACGGTATATCCACGCTACCATGCTGAGGGGAGTGCATGCCAGAATCCACGGCGAGCACTAAGTACCAACTCTACCATAGCCATGGGAGTTGCCCTAAGGACATCTTGATGGCTGTCAGTGACATTATCCCCTTCGGCTAAGGGCCTGAGCTGCAAACCCTAAATAACTTACCTGTTGAGGGCTGGGCTAGGAAGCCCAAGCCTAGGGCAGAGCTCCAGGCTTGGAATCAGAAGAAAGAGATTCCTTTAAGGGGATACGGCCAGGTGTCTAAAAACCAAACTAGACCCTGGCCTGCCACCCAGGGGGTTATCGCCGGTTCTGAATAAACCTGCTAAAATAACTGACTCGACAGTTCTTTGGTAGCAACACCCTGCTCAGAAATGTATCAACAGAGATACATAAGTTGAGTGGAGCCCAAGGCAAGAACCGGGGCTTAAACAATTCAGAGAAAGGGAATGAGGCTGACAGCGCATAACCCTTACCATACAGGATTTTAGAAAGTGCGCAGAATGCATTGCATGCACACTTACCACACTGTGGATTTTAGAAAGTGCACAGAAGCTCAGCATGTGCACTTACCATAGCATGGATTTAGAAACACCGTTTATTAAGGGGTAACCGAGGCTGTATTAAACCAGCCTAGGGGCCCTACGTGACTGTGGCACACTCACAGAACAGAATCCGAAGCATCTGCTCACAGAAGCCTAGAAGGGAGCGGCGCGCATGCAAGAGGCCCTTCATGGTGAGGGGAGCACAGCTAGCTCACTTAACAAGCAACCCGCCAGGGAGGCA